TTTTTTTGAGGCAGAGTGTTGCTTTGTTGCCAGACTGGAGTGCAGTGGCAAGATCTTGGCTCACTGCAACCTCTGCCTCCCAGGTTCAAGTGACTCTCCTGCCTCAGCCTCCCTAGTAGCTGGAATTACAGGTGCATGCCACCACACCTAGCTACTTTCTGTATTTTTTGTAGAGATGGGGTTTCACCATGTTGGTCAGGCTGGTCTCGATCTCCTGACCTCAAGTGATCCACCCACCTTGGCCTCCCAACGTGCTGGGATTACAGGTGTGAGCCACTATGCCTGGCCGTTCCCTTAACATTTTTGTACATCTGAAATGTCATGGTTTGTTTTCTCTTTAAATGTTCATCCCGTGGAGCACAACTTTGGTAGAATTCTAACAAGTCAAATACAGAAGTTAGGTGAAGTCCGTTTTTGGATATTCCAGTACCATCACTCTGGTCTTACCTCATGCCTAAGCCCAAGCTATGCCCACAGTGGGGTCCTAGGTCCTTCTCCCCTCCCAGATTTTGTGTTTCCAGGGATGGGACCCCCAGAACCTTTGGGGGCCTGGGCAGCAGCCTCGCTGGCTCTCACCTTCCTAGGAGCTGAGCAGGAGCTCCACTCCACAGCAGGGCAGGGTGCCCTAGATCCAGGACTTGAGGCACGAGGGGGTTCCTCAAGGAGCTGTGAAGCCGCAGGGCCAGGGCTGTAGCCAACAGGACACATCCTGGCCCTGCTAGGGGAGCTGACTCGCGGCTCGGAAATCATTCAGTGATGTCCACACTTGGCCTCTGTTCATGATGCTGCTGCTTTGTCATGGCCTGAAATGGCAGCACACCCCCTTTTGTGCCCCGATCCTCTGCTAATTGTAATAGATGTGACGGTGACGGGACAGGCTCACTTCGTCCACACGCACAGGCCTGGTGGCCAGCAGTGCCCAGCACTCGGGAGCTGGTGGTGGGCCCTCTTAGCTTACCATCAGGACTCCCAGCCTCTGGTTGGACTCTCAATGCTGGTGGACTCACAGTCTGACTAGGCATATCATCATCCAACTCTAAAAGGACAGCCTGCCCTCAGCAGGGCTTCCTCTCTCTCCAGCTTCAGCTTCCTCCCCCCGACCCCACCTGGGACCTGTCTGTCCTTACTATTTTGCTGTGTCAGTGGCTCCCCCACTGGACACCAGTACCATGTCTGAGAGGGTGGACCCCTGCAGGCTTCAGCTCTGTGCCCCTGCTGTGGGTGGCTGGGTAGCTGGGTCTAGAACCTACCTCCCCTGGGGAAGTGGTTCTAGACTACGGTGGCTGTTCTGTCCTAGGCCGGGCCCAGACCACCACACTACCCACCCTCAAACAACCCCAGTTGGCTTTGGCCGAGGAACAAACCAGCCCCAAACTTAGAGGATGGAACAGCAGCGTGTTCCGTGGGCCAGAGGCAGGCTGGATCAGCTGGTGCTTCTGCTGCTGGCTGTGCCTGTGTCCCTCCTGTACCTGTGACCAGCTGGGGCCGGTGGGGCCTAATGACCTCATTCATGGTTGGGGCAGTAAAGGAGACTGTGTCCTGTATCCAGTGTCCCACAGGCCAGCCCAGGCTAGGCTGTGTGGTGGGCTCAGGCTTCCAGAAAGCCTGTATAGGGCAAGCCTCTGCTTGTGTCACCTTTGCTACCTCCCTGTTGGCCAGAGTGCCTCATGAGGCCAAGGCCAGATGCCAGGTGGAGTGAGCTGCTGCCCTACGCTGGGAGGAGCGCAGTCACATGGCAGAGGCTGTGCACACCAGCAGGGGAGGGGGCAGCCAGCAGTGGCAGCCTGGCTCTAGGGTTCATGTCCTGGGGTTGAGAAGGCACAAGCTGGAGATCAGGGCAGTGTGGCAGAGGTGGGTGCCTGCTTTAGCTGGGTGGTCCCAACACCGGAACCCAGCCCAGGGATGGAGGGAAAGGGCCTATGGCTGATGGGTACTCTGGGAGCTTGAGCTGGGGTGGGTTGGGGGAGGGTGTGGGAAGCACAGCACAGGCCCTGCCAGTCACCTGGGTGATGTGTGAGGAGCAGGTGGAACTTGTCCCAGAGTGGGGGCCCCAGTGCTGTGCAGACCAGCTATGTCGGGATACCTGGATATAGGAAGCTGGAGATGAAACTTCAGAACTGTCACTGCATGGATATTTCAAACCATGAGAATTTTTGTAAAACCCTGTAAGGGGTGGTGTCAGGACAGAGTTTAGGGCTCCCACCCCCTATCTGAGCAGTGTCACATCTGCAATTTAAAATTTTTTAGTAGCTACGTTAAAAGGGAAACTGAATTTCAGTAATACATTTTAATTAACCCCAAATATATAAAATATTACCACTTCACATTGTATTCAAGTTGCTTTTAGAAAAGTGATGTGACATTTTGCATTATTTTACTACAAAGTCTCCTAAATCCTGAGTATTTGACACTTGCAACATATCTCGATTCAGAGCAGCCACCTTCCAAGGAGTCATGGGCTGTGGCAGCCGTGTGGGACAGAGCAGCTGTGGGGCGCAGAATCCCGGAAGGACTTGAGGGAGGGATGGCGGGAGAGCTGAGGAGCTTCCCTGCCCTGTGGGGCAGGCTCCTGGGTGGGTCAGGGCCTCAGGAAGGGCTGCACTTCCAAAACGGGAGGTGGAGAGGTGGGGGTGGGGATGGCAGGAAGGGGGCCTTGCTAAGGGCCGAGCCTCCCCAGGGGGAAGAGTAGGGCAGCCCAGCAGAGTCCTGCTGCTGGGAAGAGGCCTCACTGGGGCAGGGCTGGGCTATGGGCCCACCTCACAGGGGATGAAGTCTGGGGAGTATAGATGGGGGACCTAAGGTGGCAGGACAGACTCAGAGCTGGGACAGGGGCCCTGTACCCTTGCACTGGGGGCAGTGTCCTGGAACTGGCCCTCAGCTCCTGGCTTCACCTGCACAGGATGGAGGAGCTGTGCCTGCATCCTGCTGGCCACCAGGTGTATTTTGGCCAGCTGCTGGGCATGTGTGACCAGATCAGTTTCCCGCTGGGTGAGTGGGGCCCTCCCTGGTATGGTGCGGTGGGGTGCTGGGCCTGGGCTTCATGGCGCATCTCTCCTCCACGCAGGCCAGGCCGGCTACCCTGTGTACAAGTATGTGCCCTATGGCCCGGTGATGGACGTGCTGCCCTACCCATTCCGCCACACCCTGGAGAACAGCAGCCTCATGAAGGGCGCCCGTCGGGAGCGGCAGCTGCTGTGGCTGGAGCTCTTTCGGCGGCTCCGAACTGGCAGCTTCTTCCATCGCCCCGCCTAGCACCCTCGAGCCCACCCTCGGCCTCCAGTCACCCCAGCTCTGGCCTCCAGGGACCCTCGCCCCTCCAGGCCATCACCATCCTCACACAGATTCACCTTTTTTCACCCCACACTTCAGAGCTGCTGGATGTGGGCCAGGTGCCTCCCAGCCCCGCCCAGGGTGTGGGCCGAACCTGATACCTGCCTGAGAAAGCTGCTGGGAACTGTCTGGAACTCTCCTTGGATGTGTGGGCCCAAGCCCTCACCTCCATGACCCACATGTCCTTGGACCTAGAGGACTGTCTGCCTTCTGCCAGGGCCAGCCCACAGAGCTTGAGCCCCTTGGGGACAGTGGCCGGGCTGGGGAGGCCTACCTGGTCAATAAAACACTGTTCCTGCAGCTGAGAGCCCTTGTTCCCACACAAGGTCAGCTCTGGACAGCAAGAGGGAGGGGCTCAGACTCTGGCCTCCAGCGTCATCTGTTCCTGGAGGCTAGGCCCTGTACAGACCTAGCCACCCAGGGTGCTGGACACCCCCAACCCTGACTCCACAACTCAGGACCCAGCAGGGCCCCTGGGCTTGGGGCAGCATGGAGGGGACTCATGCAGATGCAGAGGCCCAGCTCCCCAGGTGGGCCTGACACCCCTCCCCCTGGGGCTCCTCCTCAGACCATTCCCTGCCGTCCGGCACCCACCCCACCACCGCAACCATGACCTGCATCAGGCTCCTCCTAGTGGTTCCCACAGGACACTGACCAGGCTGCAGCAGGTACACACTCAGCCCCCTGCCTTCTCCCACACTCTCCAGCCCCCAGTCCCACGAAGCAGGCTGGATGTGGTCCTCAGGCCCTGGGGCTTGGATGGGGGCCCTGTGCAGATAGCAGTGACAGCATCCTGGGACCAGGGCTGGGACAGGAAAGGTCTGGAGGCTCCCAGTCTCCATGCAAGGGGAGGGGTGGTGAACTGGGCACACAGCCCAGGAAGGGACCTCCAGGCAGGGTCCTCTGCTGCAGCAGAGGTGGGGGCCATACCAGGGCTCTGGTTATGGCAGAACCCACAGCTGTCACACAAGCCACATGCAGGCCACACTGAGGCATCTTTATTTCTCTGAGTCACACAGAGCTTGGGCCTTGGAGCCTCTTCTGCATGGGGGCTACAGCTGCCAAGGGAGAGGCGGAGACCAGAACAAGCACTCAGGTGGGCCCCAGTGCAGGTTGCGACATGCCCCGCGGAGTGAAAAGGTGTGAGAACCCCCATGCCCACTCGCCTGGCCCTGAGGCAGGTAGTGGCAGGCTGGACCCGCCTCCCCTTTATGACATGCTAGCATTTGGCAGAAAGTCCCAGATGAAGATAGGGACAGGCAGCCAGGGTCCACCTGGTCTCTCCTCAGCAGGGAGACCCTGCAGGCAGCTGCGAAGGCAGTGGCCAAAGGTCAAGAAGATGAACTCTGCCCAGCCTCCTGCTGCCTGTGACTATGGTGGGACAGGGCTGCCTTCCTGGTCACACTGAGCAGCAGGTGGCTGCCAGCGACCTCCCAGTCCCAGGGATGCCTTCCCTGCCTGGCAGCCCCTCTGCTGCAGCTTCCGGATGAGCTCCAGCAGGTTCATCTGCAGCATCAGCTCCTGGGATATAGAGGGGCCCCATGAGCATCAGAGTGCCCAGGCCCCATTCATCCCAGCCTAGAGGTGCCAGACAGTGAGCCCATGGGGCGACCATCCTGTGAAGCCGGTCATGGCCTGCCAGGAAAGGGTGGAATCTAAGCCTCTGCTCCCAGCAGGACCATTCAGAATGGCATGGGGGAGGAGAGCAGAAGAGGGTCATGTGGGCCTGGGGAGGGTGGGCAGTACCCCATGGTTGGCTGGCTCACCCTCCTGTAGGGAGTGGGCCCAGCCTCTGTGCTGGGAACAGCATAGAAATCCTTTCTGGAGCCTCAGTCCTTCCACTTCACCCCTATACTCTAAGCCTGGATTCTCAGGGACCAGTGGTGAAACCCCAGATGGAATGGGGTCTTCAGGGCTCAGGGGCATTCGGGCTAGGGCAGAGCAGGCCCAGGCACTGACCTGCGGGTTGGTGGTCACGTAGAAGCCAGCCACCCCCGCCTTCTCCAGTGTGCTCTGCTGGTCAGCCACCTTCCGGTCCAGCTCCAGGACGATCTTCCGGTCCATTGCCCGCTGCTCCTCACGGATCCGGTGCTCCACCGCCTGCCGTGGGTGAGGGAGGGTGAAGGCGGCTCAAACAAGTGCCTGCTGCCGTCCCCAGAAGCACCAGCTCTGACACCACTGATGCATCCTCACCACACCCAGGTCTCTCCTCGGCCAGCCAAACCCTGAAGTGGGGCTCCAAGGGGCTTCCACGAATGCCCCGACCTGGGGCTGCCTTGGGACTGCACACGCATCTCTGCAGACACCCACTTCCCCATGGCTTGTTGGTTAAATGCCAGTCTCCGGCTGTCCCTGTGCTCCCTGGGAGAAGGATGGGCCCTTTCCTGGCTGGCTCCATCACCCCACCATTGCCCTTGTACCCCTGAGGCCACCTGCTCTGTGGAGGCCCCAACCCACAAGGAGCTGCTATGCAGGGGAGCATTGGTGGGCCTTCACCCTCCACCCAGCCTCAGCATACCTGGCACCCACAGGGAGGAGCCACCCGGTGTGAATCACTAGGCCTCCAGTGGCCCATTCAGGCCCAGGGTAGCCACCCATGCCTGAGCCCCCCTGCTCTCCTTAGCTCAGCTGGTCAGCAGAGCCAAGTGGTACCCACAGGAGAACTGGGCTGGCCACCCTGCCTGTGCCCCCAGTACCTCTAGTTCTTGCTGCTGAGCCAACTGGAGCACAGGCAGGTTGTGGGGCCGGCAGCCCTGCTGGGCTTCCTGGTGCTTCTGCCGCAGCGCCTGCCTGAGCACTGGAAGGATGAGAGCCCATCAGCAGGGGTGGGACTCGGCAGCAGCCCTCGCCCATGGGCACCTGCCCTGCCCCGAGCAGAGCAGCCAAGCCAAAGGGGTGTGTGCACTGCGGAGGATGCCAAGCTCCTCCATCCTCCCAGGCCCACTGTCAGCCAGGGCCGGGCCCTCCTCTGGCAGCAAGTCTCCCGGGGACTCCAGAAGATGTGGGGCACTCAAAGAGGGTGGGGTGGGAAGGCTGGGTGGGGCCAGAGCTGCAGTCCCAGACCCAGGGCAACTGGAGGCGGTGGGAGGGAGGGAGGCTGCAGTCTGAGGGCTTCAGGCCTCACATGGCCACAGGCCAGCAGTGCTGTGTGTGCTCTGCCCCATCATCCATGGGACATGTACTCAAGTGTCAGAGACCACCTCAGGCAGAAGCATGGGAAAGGATCCAAGAGGTAAAGAGACAGGACACTGAAGAACTGGTGAAGAGCATCTGGACTGGGCCTGAGTGGGGCCTCTGCATACCAGGGGTGTGCTCGGCCCCTCCACCCTCAGTGCTGCCCTTCAGGGTGGGCAGCTCCCTCCCCCATTTGCAGCTCCCAGCCCCCCACAGCACCTGAGGGAGAAATGTGGGCACAGACCTGGGAGGCTCCAGGCCAAGGAGTCTGTGTGGCTCTGAGGGGCTCACCTTCGGCCACCAAGCAAAGCTCCACGGTCCCTGCTGAACTGTGCATAAACACAGATGTGCAAAAACTGTCTAGTCTGAAGGGAATGTACAGACGAAGTGATCATGGGACACAAAGAAGCCACCATGGTGAAAGGGAACACGCAGCACCCTGCAGCTAACACCAGTAACCAGTAAGTGCCAAATGGCTACAGCTCCCTAGGAAGGAGGGGTCCCTGGCCACAAGAACACGGGAAACCCAACACTGTTCCTGGGAAGAGCCCTGATGCTTGCTGCAGCTCTTCTCAGGAGGCCCCTGAGGCTGCCCTGCAGGTAGCCTGGCTCCCGCTGTGCCTACAGCCTTCCCCGGCCTCCTGTTTCTTGGCATTCTGTACACACCTCGACAATGGCATTTATCACATGAAATATGTTTCCAACCAAGACCCCCCCTCGAGACATCATAACATAGGGAAGCAGCGAAATGTCATCTTCACTCTACTGAGTGCCAGGTCCACTGCCAGATTCCACTAGGTAAGCAACCAAAAGGCAAGAGGAGAGCCACACTGGCTGCCTGGGCTTAGACATGACCAGGGAACACAAAGCAGGAGGAGCAGCCAGTCAGCCCTGCTGACTCAGCAGGAGAAGCAGAAAGTCAATGCAGACATGCCTGCTGCTGGTGAAACCAGGGCCTGGCCCACGCCTTCTGAAGCACAAACGGCACTGGGTCCAGAGAGTTACCGAAACTCCTCATCCTGCTAGAAGGAACCAGAGCTCTGTGGAAAAATGACCGATTCTAGTAGAGACAGAGAAAACAAGAAAAGATGAGCTGAACATGTTCCTGAACCATAAAGCAGGGAAGTGCTCAAGGAATGATGGGGAGGAACCTAAGGGAGCCTGGAGCGCCCCCACTGGCCACACATGGCACAGTCTGAGCATCAACAAATAATGGGCCATGCGCTTCAGATTAGTAAACCGTACGCATTTTACAGCTCAATGAAAAATTTTAAAAAGACAATCACCCAGACATTTAGGGGAAGAAGTAATGCCGATTCTGCACAAATTCTTCTGGAAAACTCAGGAGGAGAGCGCACTTCCAAACTCCTCATGTAAGCCTGGCAAAAACCCTGACACCCAAACCAGACAGTATTCCATAAAAACTACAGACCAAAGTTTGTCATGAATATAGACAAAAAAATTCTTCAAGATTTTAGCAAATCAAATCTGTGTACATAAAAAGGATACTACAACATGACCAAGCAGGACGGAATTCAAGTGACTGTAATTAATGTAGTAACAGAAAATCATTCACCACGTGATCATCTCGGCTGCCAAAAATGGGTCTGCCAAAATCCAACATCCATTCTTGATAGAAACACACTAATCCTGAAGCAGACGGATATGCCTGCCCTCTGGGGAAGGGCACACCGCCAGGAGGAATTTTTGCCACATGAAAACTGCCTTTAATCAGGCTTTTACCAGCTGTCCAGTTTACAGAAAACCCAGAGCGGAGAAGCAGGTTAAATGCACGAGGAAGCAATCTGATAGATCCAGAGCAGGGCATTCTAGAAGTAAATTGCCCTGGACTCTACAGACAGTCAATGCCACAATAAATGTGGGGACTGTTCCAGAAGCAGAGAGACCCAAGCAACCAACTGCAGCATGAACTTGGACTGGATCCTTACATATAAAGCAACATTCTGCGACAAGTTAGGTACCAAGATGCGGCCGCGCACACATCTGGAGACACCCAGAACGGTTAATTTCTCAGAGGGCTACCCTCTGTGGGTGTGTAGGAGACTGCTCTTGTTTTAGAGAACTTGCTCCCAATCCAAGGCCAAGGTTAACCCCCCAGGTTG